AAAAAAAAAAAAAAAAAAAAAAACCTTATTTGGAGAAACGGGAGATGGAGTGGGAGAAGAGTGCAAGTAATTTCCAAGGGAAGAAGAGAGAGGCGGTGGAGTAAATGGGGAGTGAATAGGCGGAGGCATTGGTGAGTGATTATACGATGAAGAAAGTGGGGAGTGATGGTATGAAGACAGTGGGGATGGCATTGGTGATATCCAGCGCAGATGGGCTGCTCCTGGAGATTCTGACTTTGATCTCCTTACTCTCATATTCACTTTCAGCCTGTATTTTTTTTACACAAATATGCTTCATTATTACCACAAAACTTGTCAAATAAAACAATGATCAAGTCAGCACTTACTTGTTATGAACAGCAACGTATTCGTCAGTCTCATCCAATATCTCTTCCTTCACAAACACCACCAACAAAAACAACATTCACGATGGTCTCAGATTCCACGAGGCAATTGTGTTTCCGAAAAAATATTGAATATGATGATTAGTTTAAGTGGGAGAAAATGTCACGATTGTACTAAGAAAAGAGTAGGTTAGGTTGTGAGACTCTATCCGTAGTCATTCGAAACACGATATGCAAGTGGTGCCTATCGAAACATGTGAGGACTGGATAAGTGTCATGATGTGACCGATAAGAACGGTGCATCATCCAACACGCCACGAAGAGTGTGCATGAAAGTCAAGCTAAGACATAAGGAAGATTAGAGGTAACAATGGTGTCAAGAGTGTCAAAGACATGCTCGAAGAGATTCGGGTAATGTCCTAGCTATAACCTCAAAAGTGAGTCAGGGTTCCGATGCAAGTTTTCGTCTTTCATTCAGATTGAAACTTATCATATCATGGAATCTTATCCTCAAGAAAAATTAAACGAACCTGTAAAAGTTCTTCCATGACATCTTCCAGCGTTATGATACCAATAACATCTTCATCAAAATCTGGCATTGATTTTCCATTTGTCTCACTACTTACATTAGAATGAATATTCCTTATCTGCAGCTTAATATATTCCAACTCCGTCTCGGTTCTCGTCGTGGTTTCGAGTTCCGATTCGTTAAAATCCACAGTTTTTGAATCTACAGAGACACGAGATGAGTTTATGTTTTTGATGATTCTGGTAACCAAAATCATGAAGACAAGAAGATGAAACCTGCAGGCTCTCTGGCTTCCTTATGGCTCTTAATGACAACAGCCATATGACTATGTCCTTGTTGGAACTGGTTCAATATGTCATATAAAGGTAAGTTCTCGTGTACCCTGCATCCAAATTATAGCATCAATTCTTCAGCTAAGAAAGCTATAAGGGCTAAGCATCCAACAATTTTACCTTGGAACTTTTCTGATGGTGAGATTTCTGATGGGAGTTTCATCCTGTGGATCAAATTTGATCAGATTTTTAACCTGCACCCAAATGGGGATGTATGGTAAATTTTGATTGATTTATATTGGGTGTCGGTTAGGGAGGAGAATCAAGCATTATTTATGAGGGTGTGGAAATCTCTCTAGACCGTTTTAAAAATCTTGAGAGGAAGTCCAAAAGAGACAATATCGGCTAGTGGTGAGCATAGATTGTTACAAATGGTATCAGAGCCAGACACCAGACGATGTGTCAGTAAGAAGACTGAGCCCCGAAGAAGGGTGGACACAAGGTGGTGTGCCAGCAAGGACAATGGTCCCCAAAAGGGATGGATTGGGGTCCCACATCAATTAGAGAAGGGAGCGAATACTAGTGAGGACGCCTGGCCCCGAAGGGGAGTGGATTGTGAGATCCCACATCAATTGGAGAGGAGAACGGAGTATACGTTATAAGGGTGTGAAAACCTCTTCCTAGTATACCCGTTTTAAAAACCTTGAGATGATTAGGTCTTTCAATTTAACACTTGAACATACCAAAATAATACCGATGATATTAGTTGGATGTCCCGAGTATATCGGCACTCGACTATGTCCTTTCCTTAAAATGATCTCCATGGTTTTCCTAGGATTATCCAAAAAGTCAAAAAAAACAAGTTAAAAATCAAATCCATTGAGTTCAATTAACCATAGTTAAGGGCAGAAGCATACTCATCAAGTTTGGAATTTATATCCAGTGAAAACAATTTGGATAAAGGAGTCATAGCATCCTTGGCAGTTTTGAGTGTCATGTCCAAAGCTCCAGCGATTATGGTGGTTTCTTCTTGAGTCAATTCTCCACCTTTGCCTGCCTGAGACACAAATTTTAGTTCAAAGATTTAATATATTATCCGTTCGATGATCATTTAACTTTTTTTTTTTTTCTCATTTACAAAATTGTTATCAAACGGGTCTATTGTTAGGAATCATGCTATCAGAGTTATGCCCTAAATTTAGTCGTGCCAATAGATTGGTAAATTCTCAAATGTCGAACAAAATACTCCAAAAGAAAAGGAGTCGAACCTCCTCGAAGGCAGTAAAAAATGACCAAGACTCCAAAAGGAGTCTAACCTCGATTAAGAGGAGGCGTACTTTGTTCTAGGGGAGATGTTGGATGATGTAGGGAATGATCATGGGTTTATAAACAAATAATACTCTCTCTATTGGTACGAGGCTTTTAGCAAGTAAAGCTACGAGAGCTTATGCTCAAAGTGGACAATATCATACCATTGTGAAAAGTCGTATTTGTCTAGCATTTATTAGTTCTCGTTAACCGTTGAAATGTAAAACATGTTGAACCAACCTCGTTCCCATGCATATCCACAAATGTCTTCAGCTCTGCCCTTCTTAGAAGTGTAGAATGCCCCTTGCCCAGAAGCCAATCTAATATCTGTCATTCACATTCAGAAGCTCATATGAATTGTTTCTTCTAGGGCAAAAACGCAAGCAATTAGAGTTCGAATCTTCTTTCCTTTCAATCCCTTCTCATATATGACCAAATGAAGAACATGGTATTACCTTACTGATGGGGTAAGCCAAAGGAAAGAGGACTAAGAGAAGCACCCGAACAACGACCGACAGCCTTGCGCCGACGCTCAATCCATACCTTGAGCAAATAGCTTGAGGAATAATCTATGGAGAAAACGAGGCATTCCATCAAGTACCATACAAGATGAAGAAGGAAGTTTCAGAAGCATTTACCTCTCCGAAAGTTAGTATGAGAGTCACTGATATCACAATGGCTCCCCAAGCTGGGAGAAGGGCATCGATGAAGATGGGCAGAGCCTAAAAATAGAAAGAAAGGGCAAATAAATAAAACACAGTTAAAATCCTTTCAAAAGAAGGTCTGTGAAGTTAAATATTGGATGAAGCAGTACCTCCATTGCCATGGCATTGCTTATAAGGAGTGTGCAAAGAAGCAAATGCTGGTTCTTTACTATGGGCAGAATTTTGGCTACAAGGAATGAAGTTAGAATTGTATCAAATAGGACACAAATTGCACCAAGTTTTCAAATGGGTTGAAAATGGTTCACGTCCTAACTAAGGAGTTGATTATGAATTTATAAATAAGGAATACATCTCCGTTGGTATAAGATCGTTTGGAGAAATCAAACATAAAACCACGAGAATTTATGTTTAAAGAGGATAATATCCTACCATGGTAAAGATTTGTGGTTCCTAACATAGTATCAGAGTCATGCTCTCAACTTAGTCGTGTTAATAAAATCTTCAAATGTCGAATAAAAATGTTGTGAGTCTCGAAGGTGTAGTCAATGTCGAACAAAGGGGATACTTTGTTCGAGGAATCAAACCTCGATTAAGGAGAGGTTGTTTGAGGGTTCCATAAGCCTCAAGGAAAGCTCTATAGTGTACTTTGTTTGAGGAGAGAATTGTCAGAAGACGAGTCTCATATTAGTTAATTAAGGAGTTGATCATGGGTTTAACAAAACTTACAGGCATGTTTGCGGTCATCAGGCCTGCCAGACTTGGCAAGGACCTCGAGATCGACCAAACTGAGCGACATGAGTCCTAGCGTAAGGCCCGACATAAGACCAGCAAAAGCAACCAAACCCACACATATCAGAAGATACATCCAGAACCTTGGCTCACAGCATGGGACATCACTTGCAGCCATCTCTTTATCGGTTTAATGCAAAGCTCTTGGGACTTCACGAAACAGAGAAGATTTGAGGTAAAGAGGCAAGAGAATTACGGGTACTAATAGAACTGGGTAAGACACACAACGAATAAGTGTCCAAATAGAACAGAGATTGAGAGGGCCACCTGATCGAACGCTTTGTAACATCAGCAGAAAAAAATTCCAAATTCCAAAATGACAAAGGAGGAGAATCCATGACATGTATAAACAAACTGCCCCCAACAGACTTGGCCCTTTGAAATTATAAACAATTTGAATAGCCATTACCACCAAATGGCCTTCTAAATTTAAAAACAAAGTGGAAGCTCTCGATTATGGAAAATGTACGTGTTGCAATAAGAGATACGTTGTGGGATTCACTTTATGTACTCGTTTCTTAATTCTTAGTGTATTAGTTGTCTTCTGTTTCTTCCTATAAACTAATATAAATCTGTGGATGAGGTGAGATTATCATTTTGAGGCGGAAAAAAAAAAAAAAAAAGATTTTAACCGGCATAAATGATTGAAGTATTTTTTATAATGGTGTTGAAACTTCTCCCAAATAGATACGGTTTAAACCTGTGAGGTTGGTGGTGATATATAACATGTCAAAATGAACAACATCGACTAATTGTGGACTTAGATTCTTGCATTAAATATTTTATCTGTAATGTTGCATTGTACTTAGTGTTACCAATTTATTAAACAATTTGACAAATTGTTGAATAGATGGTCGATTTAAGGAATTTAAAGCTAACACTGAATCTTAGTGAATCTATAAAGACCCCAAATGTTTGGATAAGCAAGTTGTGCACTTTCTACCCAAATGATAGGGAGAAAGGGAAAAGTGTGTAGTCCTCTCCTTCGTCTTTCTTGTTCCCCCGAGCCAAGTAGGGCCTGCATGATGGAGTCAGATGCTTTTTCTATTCTTTTTATTCTCTTCCTTGGTGTAGTTGGGATATCCTGGTCTTGAACCAGAGACATCGCTCGTGAAGTAAATCATCGCACCTACGGTCCAACCAATTGGGAGAGAATCAATAGATTTCTTTTCGGAAGCGATTTATTCTTCCCGAATGCAGCATGCAACTCTCAGTTGTATTGCGCTCTCCAAGTGTGCTTGTTCCCCTTTCTTCCTTATCGAGGCAAAAAATTATTAAATTTGGAGTTTTCAAATGTCGAACATACAACGATACCATCCATTTTCATTTAGTCCCACTACAGTGTTGTGACAACTTTTACTAAGTTTCGTATTACTTTACTAAGTGTACCAGATTACGTTTCGAAGGATCATCACGAGGTAAACTCTATTAATTTTTTTTTTTTTAATCAAGAATCCATAGGAAAATTCTTAAATTAAATTAAAACACTTGCTCCTAGGCTTGAAGTTGCACTCAATTTAAATCAATAATATTGAAAGTAGGGATTTTCTTTCAAATTTTGTTCCTAACTATTATTATTATTATTATTATTATTTTTGTTTTTTAGTCTCTCTTAAATCATATATATATAGGGGTGAACGAGTCATTACGAGGACTCGTCAAATGTTTATCGTTTACGGAAGATAGGAGGGAAAGGTCGTTTCGGCGGGAAGAAAAACAAAAAGTTCAATTCGGTTCATTAGTATCGCGTTTCACTCCGAAAGGGAATCAGAGTTATTTTTCAAAACGAGAGAGAAGGTAGAGGCGGAAGACGAAAGACGAAAGCAATCCGCAGTCACTTCCGACGGGCCAAGTAGGAGAAAATGGCATCGACCGTGAAGGACGACGTCGATCGATTGTTTGAATGCTTCAAGTGCGGCGTTTCTCCTCCTCGTAAGTTCTATTTCTCTATCTTTAGTTCGAGTTTTACAACCTCGAATGTTCTTCGTTTCTGTACTGCGAATCTCATTTTTAGAAATCGAATTTTAACAGCGAAGCAACGATAATAATTACACAAAAACTACTGGATTTCGTAAATTTGGAAGTACAATAGAGGAGCAATGTATGTTATAGGTTAAATATCTGCAGTGGCACGGTGATCATTATGAACGTTCTTCGTTTCTGTATGTTCTGCCTCTGATTATGTTTGGTTATCTATCCTGTTTCTATTCAGAATCTGCTGTGAGAGTAAAAAAGAAAAGAAAAAGTAAATTGAAGCCTGAGTGTTCAATAGACTCTACGACTCCAGCTTCTGGCTCAGTTAAAGAAATGCAGGACAATGCATCGAGCGTCCAAGTTACCGAGGAGAAAGTAAGTCGTCATTTCCTGAGGGCCGAGTTTGCCCGACTGTTATTCTTCATATGCTTATCCAAGTATTTTTAGTGTGTAATGAAGTATAGAATTCATAGCTAATGGTGAGGCTGAAACAGATTTATTTATTATTATTATCTTTTTGGCATTGCTTAACAAAACTATGTTTAACACTGTTCAGATTGATTTGACAAGTAAAGAAAAAGGTTCTAGTTCTAAGAAGTTCTCGCCAATCGTATTTTATGGTTCACCTAGAGGCGTCCCTCCCAAGAGGCCATCTAGTTTGTGGAGACTATTGCGTGAAATTCGTGTTGATATTTCTGAGCAAAGCAGATTCAAGTTAAGGTATACTGAGGATTCTTCCATCCTCTCACTTTTTCTTTCTGTTTCACCATTATTCCACTTCTCTATGATATCGTTTTGACATTTGTGGTATCTATTCTGAATAGCAAGCAAGTGTGGGCCACATTTCCCAGACAAGAAGAAGCAATTAAGTTTGCCAGAGAGCACACCGATGTTCATATTTTTAGTTATCAAGATCACTTTAATGGACAAAGGAGATTTCTAGTTTCATCATACAGTGAGTTCTGGCATAGGTATTATCAAATTTTAATCATACTTCGAGGAGAAAAAATACTTTTCACACAGAATCGTCGCAAACACTTCTGATCTTGTTTTAACAACTTTTTTTAATTAACTTAAGGTATAAAAGCATGGATTCAAAATTTCGCCACCATTATGAAGTAATTCAAGAGGTGAGCTGAATAAGTTTGAGTCATTGTACTGATCATGTGGTTCGATCTGTCCAAATCATGTGCTCTTTACTCTTTCTTCTGCTGCACTTCTCACTGTTCTATTTCAAGTGTTCAGGGTGCTCCATGTCACCTTTACTTTGATTTGGAGTACAGTAAAAGAATCAATACGGGAAAAAATGAAGACGTAATGGTTGATTCCTTGATATCTGTTGTTCTAGAAGCCTTAAATGAAAAGTATTCAATTCAAGGAAGCTTTGACTGGATACTAGAGCTTGATTCCTCAAACGAAGGTATATTTAGCATCGGTCTGATCTAGGCTTCATCTCCTGTGTTAATTCATCTGTTATTGTCTAAATGTATCCTAAATTGCTAAAATGAGGATCTTGTCATTTTCGTTTATGGTTGGCATGATAACTGAAATTTTCCTGGTACGAGTACAGATAATAATCCTTATCTTTTTTATTAATTACAGATTCACTATAGTCAACAAGATTATTTTTGGTAATTCTACAGGAATATGATTACTTCAAAATTTCATGATCATAAAAATAAAAAAGAAGAGCCGAAGGTTTTATTAATGGATGATCTAATACTGCTGCCAACGTTTTATGCTTGAAAAGTTATTTTGAGCACAGTTTGAAATTGAATGACATTGTCGAATATAGCTAAGCTTTGCATTAAACTAGGTACATGCGTGATACGTCAATTAAAATCTAACCGTTCAATTTCCTTCATTTTATTTTATTTTAAATAATAATAATAACGAGGAGGAATTGCTAGTTACAGTTTTTGTTAGTAAGTCAACTGGCTGTATGTTTTGGAGATCTCCTTTTGTGAAGCTGACCTTGGATTTTTTTAGTTTCCATGCAATTGCAACGTTCTTTCGGTGATTGATAATGACAAGGTCTCTGGCCTATAGTCTAGCATCGAGCATTTGTTTTTTGGTTCTTTTGTAGATGCCTAGATGGTTACGTTGCAAATGATTTCATAAGCGATGTTTATGATTTTGTTGATAACTCTTCCTATTTCATTTTTATGTTTAGAGAAGTTCTCTCGCCACCTGATAATCCGCATACCAAAAGTTGCTTTTAAGGATAACTCGCATGCAGGAGCATTTGTTGGTGAGGTACTTCCCTGAAGAAGCATAGGACTAAAAGATTTCTAGATACAGTGATTAACATTTGAACTCTTACCTTCTTACGATATTCGGCTATCAGCTAAGTTGGTCATTCATCTGAGTGCATGGCCAATATATATTGATTCCGAGTCTTCATTATTTAAACAAAATTTTATTGAATAGCTACAACTATCCTGTTTATTTATCCAGTACTGTTTTAATTCGTGTCAATATATTATCAGATATGTTCGCGGATTTGTATTGGAAAAATGGAAGGGAGATACGAAGAACTGTTTATCAAAAAAGATTCAAGCTCCATTGAATCTCCTAGCCATCTGTTTGTGGACAATGCAGTTTATTCTAGAAATCGTTGCTTTCGTTTAGCTTTGTCATCAAAGGCAGGGAAGACTTCTGTGCTTCTACCTACAGGAAGACATGCACGTGCAAAAATGGTATGGTACTTTTTACTAGAACATCGAATTTTAAGTTCCTCCATTTTATATTATTCTCTGGGCTTTATCAAATCGCAAGACGAATGCATAGCTAGTCAATCTCAAATAGGAAGTTCTTTTTCAGGTATCCCATCCTTTGTCTTTTGGAATTCTCGAGACCTCCTCGTTTGATATGAAACCATAAGAAATGGCAGATAAGAACTCTTCCACGTAAGAAGTAAGAAGAATCCTTAATTGTCAAGCCCTAAAACCCCAAATCAATTTAGAGTTAGTCCCAAAGAAATGATTATATGATGGTTTACCTTGATGATCAAGACCAAGAGATAGAAATAGCTAGTTCCTTACTTGAAGATTGAACAATCTACAAGAAGGTTAGTCAAGTCTACTTGCATGCACCCCTTGATAAAAAATTACAAAAAGACTGAATTCTCAACCATCGAAATGCAATTTGCAGAATTTTTTTGAATTAGCAATGATATCTGATATGTCCAACTTATCGGCAAAGGGTCCAGATAGGCTCCCAATTAAACCCTACATCTCACGTCATCAACCATAGCAAAAAGACTAAGATGCCCTTATTTAATATGTTCTAGAAAGGATAAAAAACCAATAAAATTACATCAAAGTTATAAAATAAGATGTGAATAGTAATTTAAGTTGACAGTTCATATCATCTGCTCCTAGTTCTTCTGCATGATTTTTATTCATCATTAATACTGTTATGCTGCAATACGATCTCAGAATTCTGAATTTGCAGTGAAATTTCGTTAAGCTTTTTTCAGTCAGTTTTACTTAAATTTAAGACAATCTAAATGTAGTTTTGTGGTTAGTTTGACTCATCAAAGCAAAAAAAAAAAAAAAAAAAAAAAAAAAAAAAAAAAAAAAAAAAAAAAAAAAA